GTTGTCAGCAAGCCTTCCTCTCCTGGACCGCCGCCCCCCCCAGTGCCCCGCCCCTTATGCTGGGACCCGGGGTGTTTGGAGGAAGGAGATAGTGAGAGCAGAGACCAGAGCCCCCCAGATGAGTGCTCCTCACCTTCAGCAGAGAGAGAGCTCCAGGAAGGAGAGGGTTGTCCTCGAACCCCACTGCCCATTATGACAGCCATGCGGTCGTCTAACTTCAGATGAATTAAAATGAGACATAAGCAGGAGTTCGGGTCCTTACCGCGTCAGCCGCTTTTCAAATGCCACGTGGCTGTGTCTGCCCGGCATTACCGTGTGGACAGCGCGGGGAGGAAGCATTTCCACCCGTGTCGAAACTTCTCAGTGGCGCTGGCTGTGTGTCGGGGAAGATGCCAGGGCTGGGGTGAGTGCTGAGGGGACAATAGAATGAGCTAGGGGACAGCGGCTCTGTTCGCAGGCCCAGGGAGGCCGCCTTCCCCCCCGGGCACGCCTCCTCCCGTGCCCATGCCTGTGTCCGTGCCCGTGCCCGCTCCCTGCTCAGCTTGCTGCGCCCGTGTCCTGGGGCCTCCCCGCCCAGGGGAAGCTGCGCCCTGCTCTGTGGCAACTTCAGCTTTCTCCCCTTTCCCGGACAGTGGCTCAGTAAGGAACCTGGGTGTTTGGGGGCACGGGACGGGCTTCCTCACGCGGGTTCAGCAGATGGTGCAGCGGTGCGGGCTCACCTCCTTGCAATGGCTCCCTAAGTAACCGCCAGCATTTGTGCCGCTTGCTTTCTGCGCAGTGTGCTTCCCAGGCCTGTCTGTTAGCCCTCGCAGCCCTGGGGAGTCTCAGAGGGTCGCGTCCGGGGAGTGGCGGGGCTGGGATTGAACCCAGGCTGGGACTCCAGGCCTCGAGCCTTTCCCCCACGCTACCTTCTCCTTAATTTGATGGGAGTAGGTACCGTATAATTTGTCCCAAAGGGAAAAAAGTCAAGTTAGGACCTCCCCTTGCCCATAAAGAGGGTTCCCCTGAGGGAGCTCCCCCGGGGCATGAATGTCCCATCTTACCCAATCCCAGTAAGTCCCAGGGTGGCACTGCCCACTGTCCTTCTTGGCCTCTGCTGCCACCTCCGTGGGAGGGAATGGCCCCGGGGGTCTTGATGTTTGTAGTCCTGTCCTGGAGGCCTGGGTGGAGCTGGCGGCCCTTGGCGGCAGGTGCCCCAGGGCCTCCCTCAGCTTCTCTGATGAGCCCCTCTGCCTTTGCTCAGATGACCCAGTTCATGAAGGCTGCCAAGAGCGGGACCAAGGATGGGCTGGAGAAGACAAGGATCGCCGTCCTGCGCAAAGTGTCCTTTCTGCACAGGAAAGACGTCCTTGGTGAGGCGCTGTGGGCCGGACTGGGAGGGGGGTTGGTGTCAGCCCTGTGACAGCAGGGACCTTTGGGCAAGGTCACTGGTGTCTGAGCTCCTCTGGCGGTGGGCCTTGGGGACTGAGCCCAAGTGTCAGACCGCTGTCCCAGCCTATTTCCTACTTCTCTTGGAGATGTGGCCTTCTCTTTCAGGAGAGGTGGGGCCTCTTTCTTTAGCATCGCTGCCCTTGCCCTTTGCCATGGCCTTGCCCTTGGCCTCCCGCCTTCCAACCTGTCTGGCTCACCTGGCCTCATCTCGGAGCTCTGTTGTTCATTCCTTCCTTTATCCATCCACCTATCTCTCCATTAGCTGGTATTTACTGAACACCTACTAAGTGCCGCGCCCCGTGCTGGCTGCAGGGGCACCAAGGTGAATTGAACGGCATTTCCTCCATGAGCTCCTGCGCAGTGGGGGAGACAGGCATGTAGAAAGGAAATGACAGTACAGATGAGGGGTGACATAGTGGCATGGTGGGGTACCGTGGCGAGAGGTAGAGAAAGTGGGTATGGAATATGGGAATGAAAGGTCAGGGAAGGGCGTAGAGCAGGAGAAGCAGACCCAGGTCAGTCAGCAGGGGAAACAGGAGGGGAGGGATGCTCCGGGGGCAGGAGTGAGCATGTGCAAAGGCCGGGAGGCGGGGACATATGAGATGACTTTTGTGATAGCTCACATTTATCGAGTATTTATTGTGTGCCATGCACTACTAACAGCTTTACAGCTCCTCACTTAATCCTTATAAACACCGAAGAGCTACAAAGGACTGTCCTGTTCCCATTTAGAGATGAGGGAACAGGCACAGAGTGGTTCAATGACTTGCCTGGGGATACACAGGCATAGACATGATGGAGGAGGCTTCTTCCTCCGGCTGGAGTGAGGGTTAGGGGTGAGAGATCGGGGCCAGGTGTTTAAGCCAGGGAGAACTGTGAGGTTCTGTGCCCTCTAGTATTTTACCCTCTCTGTGCCTCAGTTTGCTCATCTGGACAATGGGCTAATACGGCATCTGTCTCAGGGGGCCATGGTGAGGATGACTGAGGTGGTGCATGGAAAGAGCCTGGCCCAGACCCCAGCTCCTGCGTGGCAGGCGTTATTCTCGATGGTGGGGCATGAAGTGGAGTATTTGGTGCCAGGACCGAATCTTACTTTCCTGGGTTCAGACCCCAGTTCCATTGCCTCCTAGCTGTGTGACCCTGCACCGTTAATCCCACCGCTGCACGCGCTAGATGCAGCGCTAAAGCTTTGGGGTCGCCCTGGCCCCAGACAAGGAAGGGGACAGGCCCAGAAGTCATTCCAAACTTAGCGGAGTGGCCTGGAGAAAGGGCAGGGTGGACAGATCGGCTGTCTGGGAGCTGCTCTTGGTCACTGTCCCTACCCCCAGGCCAGCCAGGCGGCCAACGGGCTCTCCCCAGGCCCTCCCCGCCCAGCCCATTAGCTCAGAGCCTTTCCTAAAGTGACCCTCCCACCAGAGGCGTTATTAATAGCTGTGGTAGGGCTCGAATCACCAGCCAAGAATGCTACCCAGTGGCCAGTGGGGGAAGAGGAAGCCGCAGGGCCGGAGGCTGGGGTGGGTGCGGAGTGATCGCCCGGGTACCATGTGGGCCAGGAAGGAGGGCCTTCACCACCCCCACCCCCAAGCTGTCGTCCGTTGTCCCTCCTCTTCCTCCTCTTCTGTCTCCTGCTCAGGTAAGGGCCCACCTGAGTGTCCCTGCTCTCTTGGCCTCCTGGAGTCCCCGTTGCCACTTCTTCCCAACTTCCCCATGGCACCCACTTCCTGCTGCCCACAGCCACCGCCATGGGGTTTCAGAGCCAGGAGCAGCCAGGGTCCCGTCTCCTCATGCTCGCATCTCCCTCGTAGGGGCCGGGCCTCCAAGGCCAGACCCTGGCACTCGGCCCGGCCCCCCTTGTTCTCACTGCCGGAGCCTGTCTCCTCTCTCCTTCTCCGGAGATCCACGCCCACCCATGCCCACGGTGCCCGAAGGACGCCAGCTGAACTTTTTTCCCCCTTACGTCTTTGCATATTTTTTTGAAAGATGAAAGCCCAAAGCCAAACAGCTCATTCTTTTTGGGGCTTTCTTCTCCCTTTTAGGCGTCCAGAAGAAAACTATTTTTAGAGCCTAGTGATGGGGACAGAGGCGACAGGCAGTCTGGTGTGGCCCCAGGAGCGGCTTATCTCCCAGGACCCTGGGCCCAGCGGGGCTCCCAGTCCTGGAGTCTGAGCAGGGTGTGTTGTCCTTGCCTTGCATGTGTCACTCACCCATCTGACTTTCCAGGTGACTCGGAGGAGGAGGACATGGGGCTCCTGGAGGTCAGCGTTACGGACATGAAGCCCCCAGCCCCGGAGCTGGGCCCCATGCCAGACGGCCTGAGCCCTCAGCAGGTCTGTGGGAGGGGCAAGGGGCTGGGGGTTTTCTCGGGAAGGGATGTTGGAGTCCTAGCCTATTATCTGGGGCCACAAGATCTGCATCTTGAAGGGGAAATGACGATCGGGGACTCTTGGCAGATCCCCAGCTGGGGCCTCGGGCTCTCTTCTCAACCAGCTGCGCACACTCTCCAGACTGGGCCCCGCTGTTGTCCTGGGCGGAGGGGCCCCAGCGTCTGCAGCTTTGCTTCCCACGTCCATGGCAACTAGAGCAGCTCCAACTTAGAGGTTTCGAATGAAGGTGGTGTTTGATGGAAGGGACTAGAACTACAAAAGGGCTGAGATGCACTGAACTAGTCCAGCTCAGAGAGGACTGAGCGAGTTGCCCAGTTCCATCTTCCATCCCCCTGTCGTTAAGCTGGGGTCTTGGAGTCACCACGGGCTTCCCCTAGGAGCTGGGGTCCTTGGGCGATGTCTTCCCTCTCTCAGTGTCACACCGAGATGGGGCGGCTTTGCTCGGGGGCCTTGGCTGTCATGTTCGATTCCCTCCCAATCTGGGTTTTCCCAGCCACGAAACAGGGTGAGAGACCCCCGCTTTCCTCTGGTTGTGAGGACACTGAGCGAGATGTAGTAGGGGCTCCAAGCTGAATGAAGGGATTTGTCACTTTCGGGGTGGCAGAAAACCTGATGTTTGGCCTCTTTTAAAAATCAGGGAGATATGGCCACACATCTCATCTTGGGAGTATATCTGCTTGCTTCCTTTATTTCTGTTACCTACCTGGCCCCTGAGCAGCGTTGAGATGGTGACCCCTCTTCTCTGCCGAATGCAGAGTTACTGTCAGAGCAGTAGGAGCTGGGCGGGACCCAGGCCCCCAGCTCAGACCTAGGGTTCCTCTTCCTGGCGTTGGCTGGTCTCTGCTCAGGAGCTTTGCATTTCCTGGGCCAGGCAAAATTAGTTATTTAGGCCAGTGGCTTTCAACCAAGGCGATTTTGTGCCCAGGGGGTGTTTGGCAATGTCTGGTGACGTCTTTGGTTGTCACAATTGGGAGATGCTACTGGAATCTAGGGATGTTGCTAAACATCTTACAGTGCAGAGGACAGCCCACAATAATCACCTGGCCCAGACGCCAATGTGCTGACGTTGAGAACTCTGGGAACAGCTTGGGCAACTGGGGCCGTCCCAGGGCCCCTGTCCCCTTCTGCAGCGTGGGGGGCGTGGGTGTTTCTCTGGGGTGGGCCCTGGAAGGAAATACCAGTGCTCCAGGCCCCGGGGGTCCCGGACGCTGGCTGTGTGCCGTGCTGGCTCTGTGGCGCGGTTGGCGCAGGCACTGACCATGCTTTCTGCCTGTGCAGGTGGTCCGGAGGCACATCCTGGGCTCCATCGTGCAGAGTGAAGGCAGCTATGTGGAGTCTCTGAAGCGGGTCCTCCAGGTACGGCTCCGGGGCCTCTGGGGAGAGGGCAGCGAGGGTCCCGCAGGGACACTTGGCAAGGAGTGTTTTGGGACTGCGGGTAGTTTTAAGGGGCGGGGGCCAAAGGCCAGAACTTTTATGGGGACAGTGGGACCTCCCGATGGGAGATGCCAAGAATTCCTGTTGCCCTGGTGTTCATGGGAGGGCTGCATTTTCTGAAACAAAGCTGGGGATCTCTGGAATGAGGGCTGTTTTGGAGAGTCTAGGGCATGTGGCCCTTTTTGTGTCTGAAAGGGGCCATGTCTTCCTCGCTACCCCGGGAGCCCTGGGACAGGGCCGTGCCTTCCCATCACACTGGGGCTCTCTGAGGCAGGGGGTAGGTAGGGTGAGCCCATCAGATGCCCAGGGAGTGCTAGATGGTCACGTGACCCGGTTCAGGTGTATCCGCCTGGTCTGTCGTTGGCATTCCTGAAACAGTGAATCTGCTGGGATGTTGTGGGCTCTCAGAGTGAGGCCAACAGGGAAGGGAACTGTCGAGTGGGAGCCCCCTGAGGGGAGCCCCGACCCGCGACCTCAGACAGGTGGAGATGAAAACCTATGTTTCTGACAAAGCTGGGTGGAGAGTGTGGCTCTAGGTCTGGGGGCCAGGGGAGCTCGCTGGGACATCACTGTCGCTGCTCCATCAGACAGACCGGCTCAGGCGCAGGCAGAACCGAGCAGGTCCAGCTCTCCATGGAGCTCCTCCAGGCTGGTGTCTTCCTCCCAACCCAGCTTAACACATGAGTCATGGGCGTGGCTTGTGGGTGGGCACAGAGAGAGGGGCCAGGAGGGTTACACCCATGAGATCCTTCTAGAAGACAGGTGAGTGAGGAGTGAGGGATATGTGCTCCCCTGACACGAAGGTCCAGGCATGGCCTTGTCCAAGGTGGGTGGAGGGGCTCTGGCCTGGTGTTGGGCACTCAACCCCACCCACCCCGGCAGGATTACCGCAACCCCCTGATGGAGATGGAGCCCAAGGTTCTGAGCCTGCGCAAGTGCCAGATGGTGTTCTTCCGCGTGAAGGAGATCCTGCACTGCCACTCCATGTTCCAGATCGCCCTGTCCTCCCGTGTGGCCGAGTGGGACTCCACCGAGAAGATTGGGGACCTCTTTGTGGCTTCAGTAGGTGTCCTCAAACTCTCTTTTCCTGGCTCACCAAGGGAAAAACCATAGCCTGTCTGGCCTTGAGGTCATTTGGGCCAGCCTTCTGCCTCTGCCTGCTCACGTTGTTCAAGTCAGTGGGGTCAGGGGGTGGCAGGGCCTGAATCTGCCCAGTGGTCTGAGCCTGGGGTAGGCATGACACTTTCCAGTGTCCAGTATGTCCTTGGAGATGTTTGTAGGCGTGGTGCTGGTGAACTCCAGGAGACAGGCCACTGTGGGCAGCCACTGGTGGTCTGAAGTTTCCCTGCCAAGCATTCCTGAGTGACCGCTTTTTGCGATGCTCAGACAGACCACGCCTTGGCCCCTGGATGATGCCCCAGGGGGTCGGGGCCTCCAAAGTGCACTGGATCATGCTCCAGAAGATCTGGCCTGGTCCCCCTCAGTTTTGCCATGCCTGGCAGCTCTAGGGCCCTCTCAGACCCAGGTCCCCTCTGTGGATTGAGGGATGTGTTGAACTGTGGTTTTTCAAACTGAAATCCATGGGCCCCAGAGAGATTCATGGAGCTAAGGAGGGCGAAGTTGGTGGAACTCCACTCTGGCCTGTCTTAGATAATTGGGTTCTGCTAAAAGAAAAAGTACTGTTTTGAAAACCTGAGTGCTCAGTAGATCCGACACCCTGGTCTGTGTGTCTAAGGAGTTTGGAGTCGGGAGCACTGTCCTTGATGGTTTATTTCTAGGGGGCAGTTTATTTCCAGGAGGTGTTGAGGAAATACATGTTGGAAAGGGGTGTCACACCTGCTTCCCCTTCACCTGTGGGCCAGGGCTGCTGAGCTAGGGCAGGAAGAGTGTCCTGATACCCCTTGTCCCTCCTCTTTCTCCCTGCAACCTCGGCGTCTCTTGGCCTCTCTGAACCCAGTTTCCTCCCCTCACTGGGGTGACAGGTGTGCTGACCTCAGACTAGTGGGGATCCTCCAGGTGGTGCTGTCAATAGGTGTGGTGGTGGTGAGGGTGGGTGGGTTGTGACCCTCCCTCTCCACACCGGTGCCTGTTTCAGTTCTCGAAGTCCATGGTGCTCGATGTATACAGTGACTACGTGAACAACTTCACCAACGCCATGTCCATCATCAAGAAGGCCTGTCTCACCAAGCCCGCTTTCCTCGAGTTCCTCAAGGTGGGCCTGGCGGGGATCCGCAGTCCCTCCCAATAGGGCGGTGGGCAGGAGGGCTTTTAGGAGAGAGGGGGGATTTCAGCCCAGCTTCAGGTATTGTGTCTTCGCCTGGACACCTCCTCTTTCCTTTGGGGCTCGCCTTGCCCCATGGGAAGACAGTGGGTTCCTCCTGCTCCCCAACAGGCGACTCATAAAGAGTTTCTGTTAACATCTGGAGATCCTGGGCTTTGCCAGATGTCACAGAAGGCCTGTGACATCTTGGGGATGGGTCGGCCATAGGGAGACCCAGCAGTGCTGGGCCTGTACCTCTGGTGGGCTGGGCTTGGGTGGGTTTCCAGGTATAGCTCAGGGTGTCGCTGGGCTGTCCCTTTTCCTTATTGGTAAAAGGGCGAGAATTTCTCAGAGGGGTGTCTTGGGGCTCATGTGGGAGATTAGAGGTGGAAGGACCAAAAGCCTCATGTAGCTATGGCCAGGCTCCCCAAGATTTCCTTGGGTGTGCATTCAGGTGAGTCAGATGGAAATCCTACCTGCAGGGAGAATGCCACCAGGTGGAAAGTGCAGGTGGGCCAGGAACCCACTGCCCCGATCCAAGACGGCATCTGACATGGGTCCTGGGGGCCGTGGGGTTATAACAGGTGGAGATGGAGGAGAGGTGTAACAGGGGCAGGGTGGGAGGGCAGAGGTCGAGGCAGGAAGATGGGGTTAGATGAGCGAGTCTGGTTGGATCCTGGGAGCACTGTTGTTGGGGAGTCCTGGGAGAGAACACCCAGAGGCAGCTGCGGTCAGTGTGGGTGGCTCTGGACCTGTAGGACATTGCATTTTGGGCTGTGGGGAGCTGCTGCAGAGTTGTGGGCCCAGGCAGATGGAAGCGGAGGCCAGTGGAGAGGCTGTGCCAGCAGCCTGGGTCACCAGGAACGAGGCCCAGGATCTAGGGGACAGGTGGGTGGACAGAGTGGTAGAAACAGATACAAGAGACAGGACAGGAAGACTCTTCTGCCCACCCTTCATCGTGGCCTGGGCCTGGCTACTTTAAGTGGAGGGAATTGTTGTCTTGGCTACTTCTAGAGGTCCCACCTCGGCAATAAATTGCTGAATTTCCCAGTTGTGCTTTTAGTCCAGAAGCTTAACATGACTGCTGTAGTTTCCCCAGGCTGAGGGGCTGTGTGGGGACCCCCATGGTGGCAGGGAGCCCTGGCCGCGGGACCAGAGAACCCCCTGGCTCTTCTCTCAGGCCCGAGGCTGAGCAGAGTCCAGGGCCCAGGGAGAGGAGCCCATCCCGGGCAGCGGCTGCACCCCGGGGCACTGGGGCCTCGCTGCAGAGGGTCAGCGAATGATTCCACCTCATCTTCAACAGCGACGGCAGGTGTGTAGCCCCGACCGCGTCACACTCTATGGGCTGATGGTGAAGCCCATCCAGAGGTTCCCGCAGTTCATTCTCCTGCTTCAGGTACCACCCAGGATTCCCCATGGTGTGAGCCTGTGGGGTGGGGGCTTCTCACCCGTCATCCCCAACCTGAGCATCTGCTGTGGATTGTGGGCGGGGACTTGCCCCACCCTGGCCCCCTCTTTCTTCACTCCTGGAGTGGAGCCCATCAGATCGGATAGCATATTTCCCATCTCCCCGGTGTGGGATGCTGAGTGGCTGGTGGTGGGTGAGCCCGGCACTCAGGAGGGGAATGAAGGCATGTAGAATCCCAGGACCTGTGGGCTCTGGGCAGGGAGGAGATGCTCAGGGAAGGAGCTGACCTGGGCCACTTCAGGCTTCCCAGGGAGCATTAGGCCTTTCCCCCCACCCCCCAGGGCCCCGAGTCCTTGGGACACCTCTGTCAGGGGTGAGCCCTGCTGCCCAGCTGGGAAGGATGGCTGCCGGCCTAGGGCCCCAGCAGTGTCTTCCTTTCTGTCCTCAGAGCTGCCAGCTGCGAGAGTGGGCTGTCAGCATCCCGTTGATTGGTGGATCAGGAATTGGTCCACATGTTTATTTTATTTTTTTCACTCATTAGCTGTTTCTTGAGGCCATGCTCTATGTCAGGTACCACCTGTCTTGGCTGCAAGCTGAGCTTTCAGACCTGGCCTCTGTAGGGGATGTGGAGGCTGAGGCTTTGCCCTCAGCCAGGGGAGGGTCAGCTAAGGTGGGGCTCTCAGCCCTGGCTCTCTTTGGGCCCTGGCAGGACATGCTGAAGAACACCCCCAGGGGCCACCCGGACAGGCTCTCGCTGCAGCTGGCCCTCACGGAGCTGGAGACGCTGGCCGAGAAGCTCAATGAGCAGAAGCGGCTCGCTGACCAGGTGGCCGAGATCCAGCAGCTGACCAAGAGCGTCAGTGACCGCAGCAGCCTCAACAAGGTGAGTGCCGGGGCCTGCCCACCTGCGTGCCCTGTGCCCTTACCTGTTCTGCAGCCTTCACCACCTGCTTCTCCGCCTCCTGCCTCGTGGCCACCACTAGGTGTCAGTGTTCTCTGAGGGAGGGGCTTTGCTTTTCTCTGAGCCCACAGACCTTACCTAGAGGATTAGTCTCACTGGACCCTCGCATTTATTGCTATTCATGTTACTCTAGGATAAGAGCTCGTCCATGTAGTTGCCAGTAAAGATACCAGAAGTGATAGTCTAGTATTGTGCTTAAACAAGTGGGCACTGGAGTCAGAGTTCGGGCTTGAATCCAGATTTTGCCACAGGTGCTCGCTGTGTGGCCTCCGGGGGAGTCATACAACCTCTCTGAACCTCACTTGCTCCCACTGAAAGGAGAATTCAAGAGTGCCTGACCCCCAAGGCAAATGAGGGAGTTGGCAAAGCAGCAGGCCCAGTGTCCTTAATACCAGGTGGCTGTTGTCAGTATCAGTGTTATTTTTAAAGAAGAAGAAAGGTGAAAAATCCAATTTGGCAATTTAGGAATATTCTGCCAAAAAAATCTTGAAAAACTTTCAAATGAGCCTGTAGAAACCCCTGTTTTTAAAATACAAAGCCAGTACGCCCCTCCCCCCCAAATAGTCACCTCCTAGAGTCACCTGCTAGTAAACTTCAGTCCTCTATATCTCTATGGCATGTGACATGAGCCACCTGCAGCTGTACCCAGATCTGCACCTGTGCTTCTTTCACTTACTAGAGGGTAGAAGCCAGCCCAGATGGCTCAGGGTGAGGTGGCCCCTCCCCAGGGCACATTGGTGAGAACATGGGTTCTTCTTTCGGGAAGTTACATTATGTGGGGTCATAGGGAGGTGTTCAGATCTTCTGGGGGGAAAAACGGGGAGCCTTCTGGCTCTGTGGGCCGGAAAGCAGAACTAAGGCCAGTGACTAAGGCCAGTGGGATTTCAGCCACATGGGGTGGAACTTTCTAATGGCACAGGAAGGGTTGCTGGGAAAACAGCCCTTTCCAGGTGGGACCACAGTTTACAGTATATAGTGCTCTCTAACCCACATTGCCATTTAAAAAAAAATTTAATCCTCACCTGAGGATATTTTTTTCCCATTGCTTTTCAGAGAGAGTGGAAGGGGGAGAGGGAGAGAAAGAGAGAGAAACATTGATGTGAGAGAGACACATGGACTGGTTGCCTCCCACACACATCCAGACGGGGGGCAGGGAGCGAACCTGCAACCCAGCTCTGTGCCCTTGACTGGGATGCGCTCAGACCACTGAGCAACACCCACCGGGGCCACATTGCCTTTTTTTTTTTTTAAAAAAAAACACATCTTTATTGATTTCAGAGAGCAGAGGGAGAGGGAGAGAGAGAGAGAAACATCAATGATGAGAGTCATTGATCAGCTGCCTCCTGCACGACCCCAACTGGGGATCCAGCCCGCAACCCGGGCATGTGCCCCGACCTGGAATCGAACTGCGATCTCCTGGCTCCTCGGTCGATGCTCAGCTGCTGAGCCACGCCTGCCTGGGCCACATTACCATTATGATTTTTTTATCTTTACCGCAGCCTGCGAAGCTGGGCTGGGACAAGACAAGCTGCAGGGTCCCTTGAAATTCTAGGCTTCAGGGGTCCTACATCTTGAGACTCTCCCACCTCAGGCCATATTCAGGCTGCATACAGTAGTTTAAAAAAAAAAAGAATTAGTTGCCATCCTTTGAAAATGGAGAGATATGCCATAAAATTCAGACTTGTGGATCTTCCTGAAGGATTGAAAGAGCTGGGACGCTGGCCCACTGGCCCACTTTCCTACATGGTCACCCGAGCAACAGCTGCCTGCTTCACTCAGCACCCATCCACATTTTCCCAGTGTATCATTTTCCCATGTTATCTGCTGGCCCCACAGGCATCTGGGTTTGCTTCCCCTATTCCTGAAGGAAAGAGATGGGAAAAAAAGATGGGGTAGAAGAAGAGCCTCCTCCTGGGGGGGATGTCTCCCCATCTGTGATTTGATCAAGGTGGGCATGAAGGCTGGGGGGTCATCCCTCACCTTCTCCCCGCCTCCAGGCAGGATACCCTAGGCTAGTGACACAGCCTTCTATTTTGGAATGTCGCTCTAGAAAAAGGCTTGGCCATGGCCACCTGTGCTGGTATTTAATGGTCTTTGCACTTGGGAGGATCTTCAGTCCTCTCCTTTAGCTCCTTTTCTGTGACCGCGAGGGTTCCCCTTGCCTCTGCTCACACACCTGTGCAGCTGCAGGGGGAAGAAATTATGAGGCGAAGGAAGCCCGTTTCCATAGCAGTTACTCTGGGAAGAGCCATCCGTTTCTCTCCTGCTCTGTCCCCCATGGGGACCCGGGCAGTAAGGAGTGGTGGTCACTGGCTGGAGGTTAGGAAAACCTGTTGTTGGGCAAGGAACTGAAGGCTCTGAGCCCGTTTCTCTACCTGTCAAGTGTGTGTGGGNTCCGTTTCTCTCCTGCTCTGTCCCCCATGGGGACCCGGGCAGTAAGGAGTGGTGGTCACGGGCTGGAGGTTAGGAAAACCTGTTGTTGGGCAAGGAACCGAAGGCTCTGAGCCCGTTTCTCTACCTGTCAAGTGTGTGTGGGGGTGTTTGATGCATGTGGATGTTGTGAGGAGCATGGTGGTGGCAGCCACCCTGCCTTCCCCCTGCCAGGGCCCCCTTGGGCAGTCACAGCCAGTGCTGAGACCAGCCCAGTGAATTGTCCGTCACCCAGGGGAAAGCAGAAATGAAACTGGGTGGGCCCCAAACGGAACCATGTGGCTATTTCAAAATGTGCCTGCTCAGGACCCTCCAGGGGGATGTTTGTGCAATATCTGGGCTTTCTTTTGTTTTTTAAATCTCCCTAAGGGCAGGGGAATGGTTGCCAGAAAGCCCAGGGGACTTTCCTTTCTTAAGTTTTAGGTCAGGGCACACTTGACTGTCTTCCACGGGGCCTGCTGTCTTCAGGGTTCCAGCTATGTTTTCATAAGCTTATTGGTAGAAGTAGTGGGGATGGAGGAGCTTGGTCTTAGCAGTTGGGGGGAACCCGAGGAACCTCAAATCTTTTTCTTGTGTTAGGAGCAGTGGGGTATCCCCTGACTCCTATNGGGAACCTGAGGAACCTCAAATCTTTTTCTTGTGTTAGGAGCAATGGGGTATCCCCTGACTCCTATGGCCCAGCCAGGAGCTGGAGGGACAGCGCCTGTGGCCTGGCTCCATCCAAGCTGGGTCTCGGCAAGTCACTTCACCTCTGGGATCTTGGTTTCCACNTGGCTCCATCCAGGCTGGGTCTCGGCAAGTCACTTCACCTCTAGGATCTTGGTTTCCCGCCCTGGGGATGGGGATGGCCTCGGGACTGCTGAGCAAATGAAAAGAGAAGCAGAATATTTAGTGCCAAGCACAGTGCGCACACACAGTGGGGTTTTGTGCCGTTTGGACGTCTGTGTTGACACGAGACACGTGGTTCTTTGGAGACTGACAGGCCTTCTTTCCAGGAGAGGTTGTGGGGTGCTCTACCCTTTTCCTAGTGAGGATGAGGAGGAAGGAGAGGATAACTGTTGTCCTTGGAGTCATGGGTTTTGGGAGTGAATTTTGCCGACACTCTGTCCCCCCAATATTCCCGTTAGTAAAAAGGTGTTTTCCTAGTGGGACCCTAGGTAGGATGGTAGGAAGGGGGGGCTCTTGGTGTCCAGCTTGAGATTGGTAAACACCTGTGGACATGCCTGAGGCTTGAAGGTCCTAGGCCACCTCAGAGGGTCACCTCATTGACCAGCAGATATGTTCCCCACCCCATTGGGAGCCTTTCCAAGGGGAGAGCCTGGCCGAGGCTGTTCAGTAGGTCAGGGTGCAGGGACAGGACCACTTCCAGGCCAGGCTCTCCCTCGTGAGGTCACACCTCTTCATGGTGAGCTCAGTCGCAGCAGCAGCAGTGGGGACAGCTGTCGTCTAAGAGGTGTCCACCCTGTGCCATATGCCTGTCAGCTTCTTGGGTGTGCGACTTGTACTGTCACATGGGGCCCATGCTCAGAAGGGCCCACGCTGGGTTTAATGCTCTGCTGTTGCCATCTTGAAATTCTTAGTAACTTTTGAATGAGGGGAGCATTTTCTTTCTTTCTAAAAAAATGTTTTTATTGATTTTAGAGAGAGAAGAAGGGGGAGAGAGAGAGAGAGAAACATCGATGAGAGAGAAACATCAATCGGCTGCCTCCTGCATGCCTCCCACTGGGGATCCAGTCTGAAACCGGGGCATGTGCCCTGACTGGGAATGGAACTGTGACCTCCAGGTTCATGGGTTAATGCTCTACCACTGAGCCACACTGGCCGGGCAAGGGCTGCATTTTCATCTTGCTCTGGGCTTGGTAAGTTATGTAGCCAGGTCTGCTCATGTGTACCTTGGTGACTTGAGTGGTGGAAGTTGTCACCCCACTTGACTGATGAGGTGTGGACAGGTGAAGTGACCCGCCAGAAGGCTTCACAGCTGGTGCTGGGGGAGCCAGGTCTGGAACGCGTCTGTGACTCCGGGGATGGTGTCCCTGGCAGTGCTGGTCATGCGGGATTGCCATAGGGACGGGCTGCCAGTGGCTGGCTCACGTGAGAAGGATGCTGGCTGCTGGGCAGGGTGGGTGGTCAGAGAACCCAGCATGTGGTCCTCCCCAGTGCCTCTTGTCCTGGAGGTGTAGGGCGAGGCCCCGCTTTATCTTCTGCCTCTCCCAGCCTCCATCTCCTTATAAGAAAATTCTGGGTCTTTGGCATGGTGATGTCTGTGAAACAGCCTACGTGCTTGTTGGTGTTGACCTTGCTCTGTCCCCCTCCCCCAGATGTTGACCTCAGGCCAGAAGCAGCTGCTCCTCTGTGAGACGCTGACAGAGACTGTGTACGGTGACCGCGGGCAGCTGATTAAGTCCAAGGAGCGCAGGGTCTTCCTGCTCAACGACATGCTGGTCTGTGCCAACATCAACTTCAAGTAAGTGGGCCTGGCTGTCGCCCCTCCTTGGGGACCCATTCCTGTCCTGCCCCAGGCCCTTGGCTGGCCTCTCTGTGACAGGGTCCCTTTGAACTCAGCTTAGGTCTCTGATATCCGGCTTCCTCTCCCATCCCTCTTGGCCTGCTCTGTTCCTGGCCCTGGAGCTAGGAAGCACCTGGAGAGGTCATCGGGGGCCACCTTGGCCTCTGGGCAGACAGCTGTCCATGCACAGTGTGGTCTGTCCTGGAGCTCTGCCGTTGGTAACTGAGCAGCCTCCTGGGTTTGGACCACTTTGAAATTCATGAGAATCTTCCTTGTGTCCAGCCCAAATCCCAGCTGCCCTAGCTCACATAGCCCTTCCTCCGGCCAGGTCTCAGCGTTTCTCAGCAGGAGCCTGTGCCTTTCTCCCCACCGCCCAGAGCATCTTTTTCCAAAGCAGCCTGGTGTTCTTGTTCAGGGTCAAAGGTTGTAGAAATGCCCAGAACCAGCTGCCAATCTGTGCCCAGGAGGGTTGGAACCCTGGATGGGGTGAAGGTGATTCTTTAGACTCGTGGCCCATGGGTTGCATTAGGCCTCCAGGAATCTTTAGTTTGGCTCCCATAAGGAATTCACACAAAGATGGAGACATTTGTCTTCTTTTGAAAATTTGAAGGTCCCATATTGCCCAGGGCTACACAGGCCTGGAGCTGGGTCATGTGTCCCCTTCCCTGGGCTCGTGCTCTGCTGTTCGTCACCGCCCTCATCCACCGGTTCACTACGCATCCTTTGCTCGGCGCTCTCGGCGGTGGGGATTATGACCCTTCACCAAAGGAGCTGCAGCTGGACCTTACCAGCCGGCTCTTCTCCACTTGTGGAGGGAAATCTCTGCTCTCAGTTTTAACAGCATTTTAAAAACATCACGGAAACAACACTATGGCCATAGTAACCAAGACCCAAGAGGGAAAGCAGTCACCCGTAGTTGAATGTTCATCCCGGCCTGACTCTCCCACCCCTGCCTGGAACACACACGGGGTCAGGGTGCCCGTGGAGCCTTAGACTCGACACCTGGGGTCGGCTGTGCATTCCTGCCCATGGCCACAGCCGGCGCAGAGTTGGGGATTGTCCATGGTTGTCCACTCTCACACTCACACTCTCACACTCACACTCTCACACACACACTCACATACTCACACACTCACACACACACACACTCAGTTGTGGATCCCGCATTCTAGAAAGGGAGCAAGCAGGATTGTTTGGGGACTTGGACACTGTTAATCCATCAGATATTTATTGAGCCCTTACTTTGTGCCAGTTCACAGGTCTAGACAAGACCCAGTCCTGGTAGGGACTCCGGCAGGGAAGCCTCTGTTCCAGGTCAATGTGGCAGTCAGCTTATGGCTGACTCATATACGCACTCACGCATTCATGCACTCACTCACACACACACACACACACACAGTCACTCACGCATTCACACTCTCACACTTACGCACTCAGTCACACACACACACACTCACACACACAGTCACGCACTCACACACTCTTACACGCACACACTCACATACACACACACACTCAGTCACTCACGCACTCATACTCTCATATGCAGTCACTCAGTCACACACACTCANTATGGCTGACTCATATACGCACTCACGCATTCATGCACTCACTCACACACACACACACACACACAGTCACTCACGCATTCACACTCTCACACTTACGCACTCAGTCACACACACACACACTCACACACACACAGTCACGCACTCACACACTCTTACACGCGCACACTCACATACACACTCACACACACGCATTCTCACACTCACACACTCACATGCACTCTCACACACTCACACTCTCACACTCATGCACTCATTCGCACACACACAGTTACTCACACACGCACTCACTCACGTACTCATGCACTCACTCGCACACTCATGCACTCAGTTACTCACACAGTCACTCACTCACGCACTCACTCGCACACTCACGCACTGTAATTTTTCAGGCCCATTGATGTCCTCGACACCACATCTGATCAACACCTTCTCTGCCCACCTAGCATGATGTGAAAGTTAGATGGGGATGCTACTGGCCCACTTTGCGGGGGATCAGTTTGGGTGAATTGGGGTGAGTCCTGTGACCTGTCTGAGCATCATCTCGTCCAGAGCAATATAAGCTTCTTAGGAGGGCCTCTGTGGGAGCAGGTGACAGGAGGCTGGTGCCCAGCCCAGTAAGGAGGCCTCTGTGTGGCCCCTCTGCCCACACCTGGCCCGTCCCATTGCCAGCCCCTAGCAGCCTCATTCCCTGTAGAAACCACTCAGTAACAGTAACGACCTTTTCTTCCTTCTTGCCTTTTTCCTCAGGCCTGCCAACCACAGGTAGGGGCTTGGGGGCATTTGGGGGGCTCATGATTCTGGACCTGGGGCTGGGGCCTGAGCACCTGGTGCTTTTGCCTCATCGGCGGCTCGCTGCCCTGCCCGGCTTGGTTTTGGCCTGAGGTGTTGCGCTTGGGCTGGGAGGCGCCTGGCTGGGCTGCTGTGCGGAGGAGCGGCACGTGGGGCTGGCCCTGGGCTGGGTGCCGGTGGCCCCACAGGCCTGGTCTCTCTGTCCTGCAGGGGCCAGCTGGAGATCAGCAGCCTGGTGCCCCTGGGGCCCAAGTACGTGGTGAAGTGGAACACGGCACTGCCGCAGGTGCAGGTGGTAGAGGTGGGCCAGGAGGGCGGCTCCTATGACAAGGACAGCGTTCTCATTCAGCATGCCGGCGCCAAGAAGGCCTCTGCCTCGGGCCAGGCTCAGAGTGAGTATCTGCCTGGCTGCCCTGGGGAGCACCTGCCCAGGCTTAAGGGGCCCACTTGGGGGCCCCCAGGCCAGTGGACCGCTTGGCCCAGAGACTCTTGCTGGTTTGCAGCCCCACAAACACATACCCACAATCCAGACTCCACAAGCACACGCACATCCCGCAGCCATATCTCCACCCCACATGCTGGACAGATGCTCCTGGCCCTGCCCACTCCAGCCCCATGTGCCCTCATGCATGCACATGTGTACACACATGTGCGCACACGTGCAGGCACAAGCAACGACTTTTGAGTCAGGAAGCGTGACTTCCAGTCCCTGCCTGGCCATTGCCTACCTCCCTGTGTTCTGTGGGCAGGTGTCACCTCCTCTCTGTGCCTCAGTTTGCCCCTCTGGATAGCGAGGGGCCCAGGTGACACTCACCTTGCACCTTACACCCTCCGGGACCAGGCTCAGGGTTTCCTGGCCCTACCTGGGTCCTCCTTCCCCATCCTTACCATCCCCTCAGACACTTTGGGACTCAAGGAGAATGACAACTCGAGGGTGACGCTCGGTGGCCTCTCTCTTTGTTGTGGACTTCTTTCCATCTCCGCGGTGGCCGAGACCACTGTGCTCAGTGCTGCTGCATTAGCTTTCTGGCTGCTGTCCTGCCCTCCACCTTTGTCCCTTCCTGTCCATCCTGTACCCGTCCCCAGAGCCAACTCTTTAAAATGCAGATCAGATCTGTGCATGTCACCAACCCTCCCAAAATAGGCCGGTAGCTTCTCCTGGATCTCAGGATGAAGTTCGGCGGCCCTGACTCGGGCCGTGAGCCCCTCCTGGAGGTGCCCACCCACTGCACTTCCTCAGCCCACTCCTCCCCCTCGATCCCTGGGCTTGGCCACACTCCCTAGGAGGGGAGTGAGCACCCTCCTGCCCCAGGGCCTTCTCCTGCCTCCGCCCTTCCCAAGTGTGCTCATGCCATCTTGTTTTTGTCTACTTGCCTTTACTTATCCTTGCTCAGGTGATCCTTCCTCGGGAAGCCTTTTCTAATTCCTTTGGACTAGACCAGGTTCCCCCCCTACCCCACCCCAGTGCTCTCAAGGCCAGGGTATTGGTTGCTGGTTTGCCCCTTGGTGTGACTGTAGCCCTGCCTGGAGCTGGCTCTAGGTGGCGTTAACAAATGTTTGTTGAATGAATGAAGGGTGCTGAACCGCAGGGCCAGCAGAAAGGAGCACTTAGATGGGAGCACCTCCCACAGGCTGGGAAGGTGCTTGGCTATACTCCCTCCCCCACCGGCCAGACTCGGGCTCAGGCTCGGGGCTCTGTCCATCGCCTGACCCTGGAGGTTGCCTCATGGGACTGTCAGCAATTCTGGAAACAGGGTGATTGCATCACGCACTCTCGCCCTTGGAGGGCCAGGCCAGACAGCTGCGCCCACGTCTGGATGCTGTGTATCTTCCCCCTGGTCTGTGAGGCTGGAAGGGCTGCCTGCTTGGAGAAGCCTCCCTGGGAAGGGCTCTGGAGCCACCTTCAGCCCAAGCTCTGCTCCACTCCCCCCACTACTCTGCCCTCACCCTGGGACCCTGGTTCAGCAACTGTTGCATCTGTGGCTGCATTGCTGAGATGAAAGCAATATGCTGCCAGACCCCCTTTAAGGGGAAAAAGAATTCTTGTTGAACCCCAGTTGGCCATGAATGACTTTTTATCATATTGTTATTCAAATGTGTGCAAATCTAAGACTAGGTATAATTGACGCCTTATGCTCATAGCCCTCGCACAACCATAAAAACCAAAACAAAAATCACAAATAGGATAAAAATGAAGCCACAAAACAATAAAATTCAGATGAACAGCATTAATTTCATGTGATGGGTGATGTTGTTTTGCTGGAACCAAATTGCTCACAATATGGATATGGCCTCCTACGGGGCAGGTTCTTTTGAGTTCCTTGCACCCATAGCGCAGGGTGCCTTATGGTGACCCGCATTTCCCACCAGCTTGCCTGTTGGGGTCCCCGCAGAGCCTGTCTTGTCATTTGTTTGGTGGGAGCCATCACTTCCCTCCCCTGTCCACCTCGCTCCCTGCTCCTATTGGTGACCCGTTGAGGTGGCCCTGCTTAGTACCAAAGCCCACGGGAGCCCTGGCTCCCTGCAGCGGAATGTGGCTTTAAAGCCATTATATCCAGGTGACTCAGGATGTGCATCTGGTTTTTAGATAATCATCTAAATGACAACTCAAAATAACTTCCCTCCCTGGGATTCCATAGATCTCAGCTTGAGAAACTGTGGCCTACAGAATACATCCCAAATGACATTCAAGGACTTCCCCATCTAGTCCTGCTGGTCCGTGCTGCTCTGTCACCTTCTGCCCATCTCCCATGCCCCTGACACTCCATTTGTATCATCAGCAGAGATCTGGGCATCGTCACCCCGCCCCGTCACTGTCTCCTTGCTCTGATATGCTCCTCAGTACCTTCCACCGTCTGTGGTTGTAACTGACTGCTTCCCCAGTCTTCCCCTTTCCCCAGGCCATAAGCTCCGTAAGAGTAGGGACCCTGTCTGCCTTGCTCACGGCTGTCTCTCTAATACCTGGAATAGAACCTGGCACATAGTAGGTCTTCAGTATGTTTTTGAACAAGCCACAGTGCCTTTGCACTTTCCATCCTACTTTTTGACAGTGCCCATCACTCTCCTGGCCCGTGAAAGCCCCTCATCTCTTACAGGCACAGGTGGTTCTCAGTCTTCTTGTCTCCTATGACCCTTTGTAGTGCTTGAGTGTGTCCTGGATCCCAGGTGGTAGACTTTACCTGTGATTGGATCTGTGTCCCCCAGTAGATAAGAGCCTGGTAATGTTTCTTTTTGTATCTCTGGTGCCATATCCCTAGGGCTACCCCTCTTCTTTTTTGCAGTGAGTGGATGCTTGGGTTCTCATTCCTGGGGCTCAGCTGGGTCTCTCTCTGCCTAGGTAAGGTGTACTTCGGTCCCCCACGACTCTTCCAGGAGCTGCAGGACCTGCAGAAGGACCTGGCCGTGGTAGAGCAGATCACCCTCCTCATCAGCACACTGCATGGCACCTACCAGGTACACAACGCTGGCCCGGCCTTGTGGGGCTCCAGGCTTCTCCCTGTGGCAGTGCCCAGACTCAGCAGGCAGACTGGGGGGG